GCTGGGGTGCGGAGCCCCCCTGTGCCTGCCGCTCCTGGTGCAGGCTTTTTGGTACTGTCTCCTGCCAACAGAGCTTAAAGCCAGACTGGGCAAGGCGCAGTCTGAATGTGCAGGAGAGTGCCCCTGACATGAGGAACGAACAGCCTGAGGTGTGCACCAGCCATACTGGTAGTGGTGGGAGCAGAGGTGCGCAGGCAGGCTGGCATCAGAGCCAGGAGGAGCAACCAGGGCTCCTGACTGCGACTCTCTCAGTAGTTGTCAGGTTCCTCTATCAACTTGCTGCGTGAGAAAAATTTTGAGTGATTACAGTGGATTGGATTAGTGGATTATATAATTTATGATGAGAGTGACACATTGTGAATCAGAAGGAGATGGCAGACCTCAAAGGACTTACTGTATTAGTGAGCGTTGGACGCAGGTAAATGTCCTTTCTTCTGCTTTACAGTGAGAGCAGTTGATTGTGTAACCACCGCAGTTAAGTAAACCCTCATGATTATATGACTTAAAATGCAAAGGAAGATGTTGCTACAAAAATGGAGTTTGGGTTTGTAGCAGCTACTTCTGCAGTGCTTGGGCCACAGCTCGGGGCATGTATTCCGTAAAGGAGACAGAAAGGCTGGGAAACCGAGCGGGCTCCCTCAGAATCTCACCCCTGATCAGCCCACAGTCAATTACTTAAGTGCCATGCTCTGTGATCACGAAGAGAGAGAAAATACATCCCACAACCACTTTAAAAAGGAAAATCAATTAATTCTTGCGGTTTTTTTAACAGTTTTGAGGTTTAGGTGGTGTTTTTTTGTTTGCTTTGATTTTGTTTTGCTGCAGTTTTGTGGGTTTTTTTTTGTGTGGGTGTTTTTTGTTTTGTTTTTTTTTTTTAAAGCAAACGATGAATTGGTTTTACAATAAAATACGGCTAAGCCCAAGGAGCTAGCAGAAGGGGTTTCATTCAGAGCTCAGGGCTTGAATTTGCTGCCTTGATGCCATGACATGGGTCAGCCCTGGAAGGAGTCTGAACCTGATTCATTATCACCAAGAAAGCAAGGAGAAAGTTTTCATCCTTCACGTTTTAATGAATAAATGCCATTTCCTCTCTGTTATTTATCTGCTTTTGAATTTTAATGACTTGCTTTAAGTGGTAATTACCAAATTCTCCCTACCGATGCCTGGCTGGATAAAATCACTGTTCGATATTTATGAAGTGCCAGGATCCTCTAAATATAGAAATGTTATAACTATTTGTTAAAATTCTGAAAAGCCGAGAGATAAAGGGAGAGGAAATGCCACTTACTCATTAAGATTCTGCAAATGAAAAATATCTTCTCTCTATTCAGCAGTTGATTAATCTGGTCCATTAATTTATGGTCATTCGTATCTCCTTGCTTTCGGCTCTGCTGGAGTTTTCAGGCAACTGAAGTTTCCCTGATTTGAGCCTAGTTTTCCTTCCTCCTTCGGAATAATGTGAAGAGACGTTCTCTCTCTATCCTTCACACCTAAACAGCTTGGATGATTTCCCAGGAGGGAAGGAGGATGCAGTGACAACACAGTTTTGCAGGAGAAGGTCCAATTCTCACGAGCAGTGGGGGGCTCTAAACTGAAGGTTTTGACAAGCGCCTTGCTCTGTAATTTTACAACCCACAACTTGAAATCACCCTCCTTGGGACCCAGGCTCCCCCTGATTAAAAAGGGAAAAGAAACGTTTGAGGTGGAGGACTGAGCCCCTTTCATCATGCCCACTTAGGTGAACATGTGCATGCCTTTTAAAGGGTCCCATGGAAGAGAATTTCTGGAATTGTGTCCATTTGCAACGTGGAGGCTGCTCTCCCACACCTGTGTGATGAGAGGCTGTGCAGGTGAACCGACCTGTAAAATCATAATGGTTATTTTTGTAGAGTAATTTTTTTGTTGATGTTCAAGAACACGAGACTTTTTTTCCTGCTACCTGGGTCCATTTCCCTTTCAAGAAATATTATTTCACCTCATTCTCTTAAACACTAAGCTAATTTAGCTACACACAATAATCAGCCCATTAGGGAGAGGGGAGCAGCTTCCAAGAGAAGAGCTGTGTGTGATATGGGTATTTTCTCCTCGATAAAGCCCTGACTCTTCCTGGTCCCTTGACCATGCCAGACCCTCATGCTTTTTTCTTCTTTTCAGTGCTGGGGCCGGGAGAACAGGGTGCTTTATTGCCATCGACATCATGCTTGACATGGCAGAGAACGAAGGCGTGGTAGATATATTTAACTGCGTGCGAGAGCTGCGATCCCAAAGAGTCAATCTGGTGCAGACGGAGGTAGGTACCAGCAGGGCTCCTCTTACGATGTGCTGCTTTCCTGTCAGCTTCCCTGCTCAGCAGGAGCCCAGCAATTCATTAGGTCAACCCTTGTGTCTTCTGTGATGTGATTATACAGAACTTTCAGTGGCTAAGCATGACCAGATGTGCACCGAATCACATTCACTGGCAGCTACTCAGGGCCTCCAAGACAGGAGGGCAAACCTTGAAGTTCAGGTCTTAACATTGCTGATTAGTTTTATTCTCACAGTTGAAAAAAGCTAGTTCCCGAATCCTCTCATGATTCATTCATAGGTATATTGCAGACTCAAATAGTACCTGCTTTATATCAATCAAGAGATAAAAAAACGAAACATGCTTGACTCAAGCTCTGGGTGCTGATGAAGCAAGCTGCTCCATCACGTAGCGTCTAGCAGCTGCACAAAATTCCATGGAACTGTTGTCCTGCTAGGCAAGTGTTTCCTATATGCTTCAATGCCTTCTCCTGAGGGACAGGACAATAGCCTGGAGCAGAGACGAGCTTTTAACTTTGTTGGACTTCTCACATTTAGTTCAAGGAAAGAACTTTACCCAGAATACCAGGAATCCAGGGGTTTTGAAGAGACAGATGGAGCAGACTTGTTAGTACAGGTGCTTCTCTGGTGTTACCGCAGGTCCCAAGCACAATCCGTTCCTGACCATTGCCTCATGATTGTGAAAGGAAAAGCTTTACACCCCCATTTCCTCCTCAGCCCACTCCCGTTTTGTCCCAGCGTTCCTGAGAATGGTGACTTCCCATTTGACTTGTAAATTTGAAATGAATACAGGAGAACTCATGTTCAATGATGGATGAAATATGCTCACAAAGCTGTCACGTAGCACACTGTGTAATTTGTCTCCACATGAAACAGAGCCAAATACGCATATCAGGCATGATTTAAGAAAAAAAAAAGCATGATATTTCATGAACTGTATTGAAAATATGATTTTAATATCTTATTACCTCCCCTATGCAGGAGCAGTATGTATTTGTCCATGACGCCATTTTGGAGGCATGTCTCTGTGGCAACACAGCCATTCCAGTTTGTGAGTTCAGATCCATATACTACAACATCAGCAGATCAGATCCACAGACCAATTCCAGCCAGATAAAAGATGAGTTTCAGGTAATATCGTATATTTCAGTCATTGCAGTTTGTGTATTGAAGGTCGATTTCTCTGTGTTTTTCTACAATTTCCAACAGAGCAAAGAAGGGCAATGCTGAGTCAAGGTCTGATTTCAGCTGATTTTTCTGATTTTACTGCTGGATCCGACAGAGATTTGTTTTTAGCATGGACTTTTCAGCCTTTGGCGAGGAAAAAAAATCCCCATCGCTTCAGTAGAGCAAGAGTACTAATTTTTGCAGATAATTTTGTACTTCTTATTTCAACAAATATTCTGTTGTTCATTTTCTTCTGTAATATATGCAGAAACATTTATGCCTCAAGGTCCTCTATTATCCTTTCTCGTGGCTCATATGCTGCTTCCAAGCCTTGACAATCAGCTTGTTGACATCTTTCCGTGCGAAGGAGAAAGTGAGCTCAGCGAGCATTACTTTCTCTGTTACAGAATCACAGAATCACTGTTACTAATTTTCAATTAACTGGATCCTTCAGTTCACCGGTTTTGCTGAGTACCTGGTGGTGAGAGCTGAAATGACAGGTAGCCCATCTCACAAGCGCTAGAGTAGTGTAGTTTGCCTGGGGCCAGTGAGGAAATGGGGATCCCTCTAACTTTCGCTGTCACCGTTGCTTATCCCACCTTAATAAATGGGCTTGGGACACATGAGCCACGAGCAGTGTGCGGTTGGACCTCTTGCACAGTAGAGAACTTGCCCTGCGGGACAGTGAACTAAGCTTTCTAATCTTCTTTCCTGTGTATCTGTAAATCCCTTTAGGATTTTCAGCCAACACCGATGTGTGGAAAAAGCATAATATTGTAGGAAATCTGGGGCAAGGTGAGTTTGGGAAATAGAAAGAGAGAGACCTCTGCTAGTTGTTAAGAGGCTGTTCTTCTTAGTCAGCAGTAAAAAGGTGGAGATTCCTTTAATTGTAGGAAATGTGTTTTCCCCACCCTTTCCCAGTAAAGTATCTTTTGCAGCAGGAGAATGTCTTTTGGGAGCCCCAGTCTGAGTCAGATGCCTCTCTTCCTTCCTCTCTACACAGAGGGAGAATGTGTGGTTTTTATCTGAAAGCTTACAGGGAATCATCAGGGTTGGTAGAGTGAGATAAAGAATGTGGATCCCAACTGACGACAGTTCAATTAAAAAAAGATCTGGATTTATCAAGTGATATCAGATCTGTGAAAGTGTTTCTGGTTCTGGACGCTTGGCATGAAGGAGCCAAAGCCTAACTTCATCAAATGCTGTTACGCTATTAAAGAAAATGTCACCACTTGCTGGGCGTGTTTTGTCATGATAGGAGATGAGATTTGTCGCCTCCGTGCTTGTTCTTTTGAGCTGCTGGGGGCTGGCAGCTCCTATGGGAAGGAAATGCTCCACTGTATTTTGCATAAGAGGTTCGTTTTCTGTCTAGTTGTAGAATCTATTTTTACAGGATTTTTAGCTCAGAGCATTCTTCAGCCCTAATTGTCTGAATTTAATGCAAAAGATGATATCTTTTGCTGCAATCTTTAAGAACCAGTTGATCTAACTGTAGATCTGTTTGTGCAATTTGTATTATTTCTGTCCCACTGGCCCTCAGGTAAGGCCAGATGCATTTCTCATGCGCTCTGTGTTGTCTGAACATGCAAAAGCTCGTTCTGGAGAGTTTTTATATTCTGAAGTACAAAAGCAAGGGAGAGAGGGGAAGGGTCTAAAGTAGACAGGAGTAAATCCCTAACAAGTCACCTGCCTAGTTATCAGCAGTGTCAGAGAGCTGAGATTTCGTGTTGCTTCGCCAGCCAGACTACCTGCGTTCCATCTCCAGACAAAGGGACTTTAATGTGGAACCTGCATAATTCAGAGCAACTGTATTATTTCAAATTTTATACTTTGACACTGTCCTTTATCTTGGATTGTTTGACCCTCTTTTCTCCATTCGGAACCTCTCTGTGGCAGAAGTCAAGCTCCTTGTAAGAATTTTTGTCCCTTAAATATTTTTTGTTCCTCTAGCTGTAAAGGAGCTCATTATATGACTGCATGGGCTTTGCTCAGGGAGAAGACACGTAACAAGTGAAAGTAGAATGACATCAAATAGCCACTGATCTACCACGACTTAAGCGACAGTGTTAAGATGCGTTCACTTTGATTTGCTGTTTTTGATCCCTGCTGACCAGCCTGGATTGGTTTGTCAGGAGGACTCCACGGTGGATAACACAAAAGTAAATTAGATTTAAAGAAATACGGTCTGTCAAGCTGTGAGAAAGACAGATAATGGTAAAAGGCTGACAGCAAGACCCCAGAGACAAGGTATGACTATGTAAGTGAGGCATCCTATGTGTCACTCCAAAAGGAAAGTAGCAATCTAAATAATATATGGAACAGATACTTTCCTGTTAAAAAGAACCCAAACGTTTTCTCTTAGGTGTTTATATGCATTGTTAAGATAACTCAGTTTGACCGAGGATCCACCAGAGTATCTGAACCCAGGCTGACCTGCTGGGTGAGCCAGGTCAATACTCGGGGTAATTCTGCACAGGATTCACTTGAAGAGGGAGAAGAAACCATGTTTTTTTGCCCTGGGGATGGTAAAACATGAGGAGGTTTCACTCCATGACCACGTCAAAGCTGGAACTTGTAGCTATGACAACTATTTCCAACCTCTAGCAAAGAACAGAAATGTTATCTAACTTCTGTGGGGTTTTAGAGCTGGAAATTGTTAGTATGAGTGTAGTGCCCTCAATTTATGCTGGAGCTTGCGGTGTTTGGAAGAGCATCTCAGGACAATGTGCAAAATGCAATGTATTATAACAGCAACAAGCTCCTCAGTGCTCCTTCATTTTCATTCTCTGGGATCCCAAAGATCTGCTAGTCTAAGTACCTATAAAATGAACGTGTTGTGGAGATGGCATCCTTCTTGGAAGCAAATTCAAAGACACTCAGCCTTCTTCTGTCTGTCTTTCCCTTCTTCCCTCCCTCCTTCACAGACTCTCAATATTGTGACACCGCGTGTTCGGCCAGAAGATTGCAGCATCGGTCTTTTGCCAAGGAACCATGACAAGAACCGCTGCATGGATGTGTTGCCCTTGGACCGGTGCCTGCCTTTCCTCATCTCCGTGGATGGCGAATCAAGTAACTACATCAATGCTGCACTCATGGATGTAAGCAGCACTGCACTGTCCCCACCAATCCTAGTCTGCATCAAGTTTGTTCGTTCTCGGGGTACTTTTCTGGGAGAAAGGGATCCAAGGCAAAAAACCTTATTTTTACCTGCAGTTTTTGGATCTGATATCTCCAAACCGAGCAAAGGCATGCAGGAATGTGTCACCTAGGCTATGGTTATCACACTACTGTTGTAGTTCTGCGTCACATTGGTAGAAAATTCTTGACAAAGTAGTTTATGAGCGTGCAGTCTGAGGATTTATCTTAGGCAGATGGACAAAAAGTGGTGGGACAGCTCTTCCCACACATTGGTTGTTGTATAACTTGGAAGAGAATTGTTCACTGGGAGCCGCCAGATCAGCTCTTTGAAAATAATAGTTTGCAGTGTGGAGCAAGTGATTTATTTGAGCTTATGTGATTAAGAATACGGGAGTACAGGGGTCAGATGTACAAAATTCTTTAAGGCTGAAGGAGAGGAGTTAAGCTGATGTGAACCTGTGCGAAGGCATTTCCCCTTGCTTTGTTTATAGGCTAGAATCCCACAGCACAGGCCATTTGTACAGGATGAATTAGGTTGATGGTTTCTTTTAGCTGTGATGCTTAACTACCTTTGGATGGAGATGTCTCGAAAGCCACTAATTATTGCAGTTGGAGTATGTGTAAATATGATCCAGGGTGAAATGTCATCATTTTTTCCCTAGCAATGTTGCGTTTGGTCTTTTCTAATTTTGTCTGTTCTTTCAGTCTTTGGGGAACGGTGATACTACTGCATTTAAGAGGTTAAGTCAAATGGTCATAGAATTAATTTTAGATTTTTTTTTTCAGAAAGATTGTGCTCTTTTCATTGTAAAAATGCCTGAGGAAAGTTTTTTTTCCTTTAAAGTGTGTTTTGTGCTTTGGTAAATCTGCAGAAGCACAATCAATTCTTCTCTAGTTTCTTAGGGACTGGGAATGTGTTTGCACATTTCAGCACTCATTACCTCCAAGCACTTTGCTAATACTTGTATCCTTCCCAACAAAATTCCTGCTAATTATATTTTTTTGTGGCAAAGGAATTTCTCATTTGTCATTGAAAGTCAGCAATTGTGATGTTCTTTAGCTCTAGCAGCTTTTGAAAAAAAAATAAATCAGAGTGGGACAGCCAAAATCCCACATTTTCATAGGTGTTCCTGTTAAGGACAGACCTTGAAAATTTTTTGTCTTTTCCAGTAGCTTCATGTCTGCAGTCTTGTACTGAGCATGGACTCTTACAAGACATCATCCATGCCATATTGCCTTGAACTATTATTAGTTTTTTCATTGAGTGAAGTCAGGCACATGCTGGAGAACACCTGGCAACAGAGTCCCCATGCTGATCATTTTATTTACAGATTTCTCATGTTTATCTCTTTTTTCAAGTCTTATTTGACTTGCAGCTTGCTCTGTGTTTAGGGCCACAAAAATGATCAGAGAGCTGCAACACCTCTCCTATGAGGAAGGGCTGAGAGAGCTGAGGCTGTGCAAACTGGAGAAGAGAAGGCTGCAGGGAGACCTTAGAGCAGCTGCCAGTGCCT